TACACCACAGGCAGCTTAACGCCAGGTGTGAAAGTTGGGGCATCTTCTCCCCGTGGCCTTCATTCCATAGCACTGAATACTGGCCGCTGGTTTTTCTAATTGCCTGGCTGAAAAATACAATCTTTTTTTCTGCATTGTTTTTTTAACAGAGCCTTGCTCAACCTGAAGTCCTCCAGTTCTGACGGACTGTGACTTCCATCAGACAATCTGACCAAGGCCATTTGCTGCCTAGAATGATAGGAACATATAATCCAACAAAACTAGAGATCAACAAGCTTAGGAAAAGCTGGCTTAGACCATGGTTTATTTTTCAGGTAGAAAGGAAGTATATGCTCTCAGCCTTCAAGCAGTTCACCATCAGCTTCCAACTGATCTGTGCACAAAGAATCAAATATTGGTGCTTCTATCATTCATCCTATTATTAGAGCTCCATTATTTTCTTCCATGTCAATGCACTATTGCTATTACAACCCTTGCAGTTTTCCATGCATTAGCCCACTCCCGATGGACCTGCAGCTGCCATTCATTCCCCCCCCCCCCTGGAAATCCTCTTTTGATTGGTTTTTTTTTAACCTTTCGGATAATTCTGGAAGAATGTGATCCACCCAGCAAAAGGTCCTGTTTGAATACAGCTGACTTTGCTATTAGTAGTAGCAGTAGTAATAATAATAATTAAATGCTTTAGATACTAGTCACCTAATAATTAAAGGAAAATGGTCAAATATTGGAACATACTGCAGTGTGAGGAAAAGGCAAGACCTAAAGAAAAGTAGTGAATGATAACAATCAAAGAATCCTGCAAAAAAGATATTATTGACACTTGTGCAAAGAAAGACATGTTCCTGGAAGCTTTTGGAAATAGGCAGTGTACAGATAAAGGAAATAAATACATTAGTACCAATAGAAGAGAATATATGTAGCTCAGAGTTGAACATCAGTGCATTAATTATGTTACCTAGGTTGGTAATGAAACATCTGCAAGACGCCAACCAAGCTCAGAGAGCACCCAGAACCCCACAAATACATTTATTCCTAAAAAAGGAGGCCATGGGCAGGAAGGACAAATAGGAGAAATCAGTTATGGTCTAGGCAGGAGAAAAGTATCTGTAGAGCAAGAATAATCAGAAGGTGATGTGTATTAAAAAGAAAAAAATAAGGATTGGCAGATTGAAGAGATTTTAAAAGAAATAGTAATAACTAATGGATCCAATAAGACAAGTAGATAAAAAAAAACAATGTCCAATATGAGGGTTATAAAACAAGGAACAATAAATAACCTCTAATGAAGGAGTAGGGGGAATCCCATGTGCAGAAATAGAAGGAAAGTAGAAACAGTCGAGTTAAACCAGGCAGAGCTTCAGAGAGTAATGTAGAAGAAAATAGAGAACTAACAGAGCTAAGTTAATGTCTTGATGAATTCCAAATATTTGAGGTTTGGCCAAGAAAATGTACATGTCTCTGACAATGAGCAGTTGCTCTAAAAGCCTGCTGGCAGGCCTAAGAATTCCAGTCCAGCCTATGGCAACTCCAAAGCAACAAGATACTGCAAGTCAACTCTTGAATTATTTCTCAAAAGCAGAGGGATCACAACCAGAACTTTGTGAACATTTTCTGAAGTGGCCAATATAAACGAAGTGTACCTTACTATTGTACAAAGCACATTTTACAATAAAAAGAACCCCTTTCATAGATTTTAAAGCAATTTGATGCAGGAACAGGACATTCAAGCTCAATATTTTGGAAGTTTCATCAATTATTAATATACTTTTTTTCAACTTCTTATGAAGACCAGTTTCTTGATACATACTGTATATCCAGCAAGAGAAAATCCTAAAAAATGATTGAAATGAGTGATAACCCTCCACCCCCCTACACACACACACACACACACACACACATACACACATACACACATACACACAGACAATAACTTTTGGAAAGTCAACCGGGACTCACAATTCTACAACCCCCTAAAAGATATGTGTGAAACTCAAATGATAGAAAGTCCCTTTATAGTCCTGATTTAATTCATTGATTTATTTATTTATTACATTTATATGCTGCCCTTTTCCCCAAAGGGGACTCATTGATTGCATGATTACTCTAGTTCCATAAAAGGGGAGATGAAGGGTTAAAATCACTATCTACACATTTCTGAACCACATGAAGAGGATGCTATGTGTTGGTTTTTTTAATCAGATTGTTTTCTCTTTTTTATTTGAAATAAGGGCACTAACAGATATGATTGCTAAACTTGCCCAAAGTAATAGAGTCTGAAAACTGGAAGGCTGACCCTGGAATGCCAAATAGAGAACTCTGCATGTTTCATGCCATTGCTGTT